TGGAGCATCCTAGGATGGTTTTCGCTGCTTTCATCTGCGCCGCCTCGAGTTCTTTCACTACCTTCTTATTTCCTTCCCATACTTCTCCGGCGTACTCTAGCGGCGGTACGATTACGCTCTTCAAAACCGTTAATTTGATGCGTGCATCGAGGTGCCGGTTTGCGAGTATTGGCAGCTTCCCTGCTCGTGCTTTGGAGGGGGAATTTTGACGCATGAGGGATTCGTTGGTGTCTCCATCACCTTTGTTTCACTATATGCACCCAAGGCTTTCCCTATCTATCCTCTTTGGGGCAAAACCCACAACACCCACGGGTTTTTGTCTCCGTCTTTGTTCTTCTGTACCTGAGCACACAGACAGGCAATATGCCAAAGGTTTCTTACAACCCACAACTTGTTTGTCACGACGGTATTGACTCTGTCGTGTGTCTGTGTTATTTGTCTCTCTCTCTTTCCCTTCTCCCGATCTGCTCTCTTCTTTTTCTTTTTCTTTCTTTTTTTTTCCAGTCTACGGTTACCTCGCAAAGCGTGTAAAGGCGAGCGGAGTGGCCTAGACTATCTGTCTTTGAATTAGTTAAGTTGCGGATCCGGTCCATATACACTGTTTTTTTTCGTATAACCTCTTGGGGTAACTTGGCCTGTGACCACGAGAATCGACCGCTCAAGTGTAAGACTAGTACGGACGGAACAAGGTACTGGGCACAGAGAACGGTACGGTTTTAATGTGAAGACAACAACAACAACACAACAACATCGACTGCTGTGATTGATAGTTGTATTCACTCGGAGCAAGTGTTCTTCAGCGTAGCTTTTCCGAGCGTGGATTTCTTGTGTTCACAGATTTCATTCATGCAGATGATAGCCTATGAATGTCCAGGGCAACAATGAGTAGCACGAACGCGTCCCTCCGCAAATCTTTGAAACACCACCCCATCACATCGATGGATGGAGAGGACCCATCTACATGTAGACTATACCTACCTGCATAGACACAGAATCCGTAATAGACCAGTCTATAGCAGCAGCAGCAGCAGCAGCAGCAGTAGATCGAAGATATGAGAAAAAATATAGTCTAGTGGTGCCTGTAGGGTATGGAGACGTCCGGTGTGGGCTCTGCTGTTGAGACGAAGGGACCACCTACTGACTGACTCACTGAGTGCCAAGAGGCCGGCCGAGAAATTACTTGCACCTCTTGGTGACACTCGGAACCGTCATCGGCTTTGATGGATCTTTATTTTTGGCTCACTGCTTTTTTTTTTTTATGCGTTTCTTTTGCGCCACTGCTCGATCGATCAAACGCATACACCCACAACAAAACACACCCACAGCCGTCACCAACACAACAAACTGCAAAATAAGAAGGCAAACAGACAAGGGGAGCACGACCGAAACACCATCATGGGGAATGACATGGGAAGGAGCGCAAACCGGATGGCCATCGGAGCCATGGCGAACGCGACGCACTTCGAGAAGAAAGAGCTGCTTCGCCTTCAGGTATGTTCGTTGGCCGTTCAGACAGACTAAGCCGGAGTTTTTCGCCGCTTGCGCCGTTAACGACTCACGACAGCTGCTGTACTTATCTACTGCTGTAGCATCCTTTCGTCCCTGTCGAGCTACTGTTGTAGCCGCCTCTACCTCCCCTTTGGAGATGCCTGCTTGGCTGCTTGTACAGCAGCAGGGAGCGAGCGGCGCAGGCGTAATAGTTAGGCAGCAACATCAAGGGGGCACAAAACAAAGCCCGTTCCCCTTGAATCGTTTCAAGTGTTGTGTGTGTTGTGTGCTTTGCATCACTTGTTACAATTTCAACCTACCCGAGCGTACACAGAGTTGCCAGCGCCTTGCTGCATGCATATCGTCCATCGCTGCAGCAGTGGCAGTCCTGCGAGCGCTGCTATCCGGCCGTTCAGTTGGTGCGGCCCTGCCGCTCACAGGTGTAGATGCTGACGGGTGCTGGTTGCTCTCCGAGAGATGGACAGAGAGAGGGGCGAAGAGGTAGCGCGCACGTTCAACAACGACACAAGCCTTTTGTCTCGCCGATGTTGGTTGTGACTCGAAAAATTATTGCGGTCATGCCTCGGCCCCTCTCAAGTGAGAGTAAGAGAGAGAGAAGACCTGCTGCCACTCCACCGGAGCCCTCTGCTGCAACAGCAGTGCAGTGGTTTCAGCACCCGGCGTCTGCTCGCTGTTGCTTGCTGTTGGTGCTCTCGTTGCCATCATGATACTGCTGCTGTCTCCCTTTGGAGACCAAAGATTAAATTATATAGATCACCCAGTGTGTCTGTCTGCCTCTCTCTCGGTGTCTGTCGTTTGTCTGTCTGTCACGATCCAGCGCAAGTTTGTGGAGCTGGCCCAGCGGGAGGGCAACCCCTGCACGATCACCCGCGCCGAATTCAGGTGAGGCGAGACAAGAGAATAAACTGAACCACCAGCAAAGGCGTACCATCGAGGTGGTGTTGTATTTTTGCCTCCTGACCTCCACACTCTTGTTCTTTGCTCTAGACTACCTTTCTCTACATGGAAATACGAACCACCAGCCACACGTGAGGAAAAAACTAATCACATTGCGCTGCATGGCACACAAAAATGTTGCCCCCAGGAAGAGCGGTGCGCGTCGGCAGCTTTGTTTGGCGAACGACGACAAAAAGTTCACGCGCCTCCAAAACAGCAGCAGGCAAAGAAGCATCATGTAGTATCTCACGATCTTTTCAGCCAGCAGCAGCGGTCTGCTGCACACCAGAACCTCTACCATGATGTGTTGTTGTTGTTGTTGTTGTTGTTGTTGTTGTTGTTGTTGTTGTTGTCTTCACATCAAAAACCGTTCCGATCTCTCTCTACCCAGTACCTTCGTGTTTCCGTGTACTGATCCAACACTCGACGCGGTCGATTCCCGTGGTTGCAGGCTTACCCTTCAAAGGTACACTCAAAAGGGGTCCGCAAGTCAAAAGAAATCAACTATTAATACAGATATTCTGGAGTCCTCCACTCCCTCTGCGCGCTATGCGAGGTAACAACTGAGACTAGGGGTCACCATCACGGGCCAGAGAGAAAGAGGTACACCCCACCAAGGGTCCAATCTTGGTACTTCACAACGCAAGCAGAGACAAGGCCATCTGGCACAGAATTTTTTTTTGAAAAAACTGGGAAAAGAGAAGCAAAAAAAGGGAAAAATAAGGAAAGAGAAAATGAAATGAAAAAGAGCGAGGACAAAAGGGGACCAGGTCGAAAATAGAAAATAACAAGAAATAAGAGACAGAAAAAGGCACACGGTGGAGAGACCACTAACGAACAAGCAAACACGCAAACATGGTCACCAACCAGGGATACATACGTCATCACTAGTGGGGGGTTGATGCAATGGTGCAACGTTGAGGGGGGGGAAACTGGCTAAAACAATTTCAATCCGGCACGTAGTGTGTAGATACCAGCTGGTGTAGATATGCATCTCGATATCTTGATAATGAAATGTGCTTGGTTTCGGAACAGAACGAACGACTACCATTCTCTCTCTTTCCCTCTCTCTTCTCCAACGCTTACTTGCTGCGCGCGATGCGATGCAACCTCTGACTGACATGTTTGGACGTATGTATACATACCCCGCATAAGTTCTACAAGCCTTCCTTGCCATCCCCTTCATCTGCTGCTGTTGCTACAACATTGCACACGCATCCAGGCAGAGCAAGCACCGTCCTATGCGGGCGTGCGTATCAGATCGATAGAAAATAGAAAGCGAATAATTGGTTGCTTGTCCAGCAGGGTGGTTGATGTGTGTGACCTCGGAACACAATGCAGCCCGCCGTTTTCTCCAGTCGCATAACTCGGAACTCTGAACCGCTTCCTTCCGTGTTATTTTGTTATTTTCGTTGTTGTAGGAAAAAGCCCTGGTGTTTACCTCGTCCTGTGTGACCCTGGATAGTTGTAGTTGTACGAAAAAATGCGCTGAAAAGTGTAGTACACGTCTCACCACGAAAAATGGCGGAACTGTCGCCGTAATAAATAGGACGAAAACATAACAGTCTAAAAAGACATCGGACAGACATCGGCTTGCGGAGAAATGAGAAATGAGAAATGGCTCAACTCGCCGATCGTTTCACCGGGGTAATGGGGTATTGTCTGTCCTGGCTCCTGAGTCCTGACTCTTGATATCCTGGTATAAAATAATACAAAATACAACATGTACTGCGCGGCGGTGCAACCCTCTGTCAACAAATATTGCGCAACGCTGTGCAGTGTTGTGCGGGATTTCCTGACGACGAACCTACTGAGAGTACAGTAACATTCGCCCGCAAGAGTCCCCCCCCCAACGGCATTCCACGATGCCACAAAAAAACACAAGCAGGCATGCATGATGCCCCAGTCAGGGCGAATACTACAAGACTACTGCTTGCCACAGGTACACGACGTACAGCGGCGCGTTTCCACTGACGGTCGATGCTACTACGTCACACCTTCCTTACGTGTAGTAGACGCTACGAGGTCGGTCGCTTGCATGTGTCTTCCACAAGAAAGCCCGAAAATAACACGATTCAAGGAGGCGAAGTGCTACAACCCATCCTTTGTGCGGTGTATCTCTCTACGAGAATGTGGCATCTAATAGATAGTAACAAAATGAAAAAAAATTCGAAATAACTCGAGTCGTTGCCATCACCAAAAATTAACTGGAAACATGTGCATGCATACACACGTACAGGGAGGCGCTAGAGTTGGTGGGCATCATGGAGTCGGACACCGAGATCTTGGACCGATTGTTCAGCATGTTCGACAAGACCGGGAACGACCAGATCGACTACAAGGAGTTCGTCGGGGGCCTTGCTCCTCTCTGCCACGGGACTGTCGAAGAAAAGCTTGCTTGTGAGCACCTAGTACTATCATGTTGTACACATGTTATTCAAAGGAAGCCAGTTCGTGCCGCCACCAAACTGTTGTTGTTGGTTCTCTCATGAAGTAGTTTGCCAGCTGCGTGCGGAGTCTTGTCATGCATAAGCGTCATTCTGCGTGGTGCCCTTTACATGCGCGTGTGCCCCAAGAATTTTTGTGTGCGTTTTGCCCCAATGATGCAACTTTGTTTGATTTCTTGCCCCTCCCCCCCCTCCCCCAACACAGTTTCGTTCGAGTTGTGCGATTTGAACAACACCGGCAAGATCGACGAAGACAACATGGAGCGGCTCCTCGTCGCCATCAACGACACGGCCAGCTATNGGGGGGGGGGGGGGGGGGGGGGGGGGGGGGGGGGGGGGGAGGGGGGGGAGCTAGGGAGGGGGCAGGGCAACGGCCTGTGGCATCGTCAAAGTTATTTCTGCACCACATAGGGGCCGCCGGGGCGGCGGGGGAGTTCGTGTCGTGAGTCGGCGGCCGTGTGTTGTTAGGTTTTGCGTTGGTGCGGTCGAAGCGTAAGGTTTAGATTTTCCACGGGCGATTGCCCCCCCTCCCCCCTCCGTTTTTCTTCTCCTGCACGCACGTGTTTTTTTCTGTTTTGTTTCGTCGTAATAAAACTGACCTTTTCTTCGCTTGGTTTACGCACGGGTTTGTTGTGCCGCGCGTGTGCAGAATCTAGTTTTGGACATCTTCGGGAAGTACGGCGATCGCTGCACGGGAACGCTGGACTACGCCAGTTATATGAAGGCCGTCGCAGACCACCCGGTCGTGGTGCAGTTCGCCTGCGGGGAAGGCACGGAGAGATATGGTTCGGGCAATTGATCCTCGTGTTCTACTGATGGTGGTGGTGACGGTAGACGTTTTTATCCGACGGCGGCGACAGATGGCCCCGGGAGGTCCGGTTTTCCTTAATTTTGTTCTGCAGCCGATAGGGTGCCGGATCCGATCACCCCCCCCCCCCCCCCCCCCCCCCCCCCCCCCCCCCCCCCCCCCCCCCCC